CATGTATCAAGATAAAAGAAAGATCTCAAATAAACAACCTAACATTATATCTCAAGAAACTTAGAAAAGAACAAACTAAGCTGAAAGTTAGCAAAAAGAATGAAATAATAAAGATAAGAGCAGAAATAAATGAAATAGAAATAAAAGCAATGAAAAGACAAAAGTATAAAAGAAAAAATTAAAATTCAGAGTTCATTCTCTAAAAAGATAAACAAGATTGATAAATCTTTAGCTAGACTAACCAAAAAAAAAGTGAGCCCCAATAGATAAAATTATAAATGAAAGAGAAGACATTACAACTGATACCACAGAAATACAAAGGATCAAAATGACTACCATGAAGAATCATATGCCAATAAATTAGAAAACCTAGAAGAAATTAATAAATTCCTAGAAACATACAATCTATGAAGACTGATTCATGAAGAACTAGAAAATATGAACAGACCAATAACAAGTAAGGAGATTGAATCAGTTCTCAAAAACTTCTCAACAAAGAAAAGCCCAGAACCAGGTTTAAATAAAAATTGTCAATCCTTCTCTTCTTTTTTTTTTTTTTAAAAAGTTTTTAAAAAAAACTCTTCTAAAAAGTTGAAGAGGAAGGAATGCTCTCAAACTCATTTTACAAGGTCAGTATTATCTGGACACCAAAGTCAGATAAGAATACTGCAAGAAAATTACAGGCTAATATCCCTGATACATATAGATAAAAAAATTCTCAACAAAATTTTTCTCAGCAAAACAAATTCAACAGTGCATTAAAAAAATCATAAACCATAAGCAAGTAGAATTTGTCCCTGGGATGTAGGGATGGTTCACTATATGTAGATCAATAAATGTGATACACCAAATTAATAAAATCATCTCAATAGATGTAGAAAAAGCATCTGACAAAATCTAACATCCTTTCATGATAGAAATTCTTGAAAAATTTCGTATAGAAGGACTGTACTTCAACATAATAAAGGCTATATATGACAAATCCATAGCTAACATCATACTCAATGGTTAATGATTGAAAGTGTTTCCTCTAAGATCAGGAACAAGACAAAGGTACCCACTCTCAATGCTCTTGTTCAGCATAGTACTGAAAGTCCTAGCCAGAAAAATCAGACAAGAAAAAGAAATAAAAGATATCCAAATTGGTAAGGAAGAAGTAAAATTATTTCTGTTTGCAGATGACATAATCTTATATATAGAAAACCCTTAAAGACTGCCAAAAAGCTGTTAGAACTAATAAACAAATTCAGTAAAGTTGCAGGATACAAAATAAACATACAAAAATCAGTTGCATTTCTATATACAAACAATGAACTCTAAAAACAAAACAATCCCATTTAGAATAGCATCAAAAACAATAAAATAGGAATAAATTTAACTGAGGAGGTAAAAGATCTGTACAATGAAAAGTATAAGACATTGATGAAAGAAACTGAAGACATAAATAAATGGAAAGATAGCCTGTGTTCACAGATCAGAAGAATTAATATTATTTACATGTCTGTATTACCCAAAGCTACCCATAGATTTAATGCATTCTCTATCTAAATTCCAATGTATTTTTACAGAAATAAAACAACAAACAATCCTAAAATTTGTATGGAACCACAAAAGACTTTGAATAGTTAAAGCAATCTTGAACAAGAATAACAAAGCTGGAGGCATCACACTTCCTGATTTCAAACTATACTGTAAAGCTATCATGATCAAAACAGTATAGTTCTGGCATAAAAACAGACACATAGACCAATGAACAGAATCAAGCGCCCAGAAATAAACTCTCACATATATGGTCAACTCATCCATGACAAGGAAGCCAAGAATAAAATGGGAAAAAATGGGGAAAAAATAGTCTCTTCAGCAAATGGTGTTGGGGAAATGATATATACTAGCAAAAGAATTTGTATCAGGGAAATACAAATCAAAACCATAATGAGATATTGCCTCATACTTTTTAGAATAGCTTTTGTCAAAAAGACAAGTGCTAGCAAGGATGTGAAGAAAAGGGACTCTTGTGCACTGATGGTGAGGATGTAAATTGGTACAGATCCCATGGAAAACAGTATGAAAGTTTCTCAAAAAATTAAAAGTAGATCTATCATCCAGCAATCCTTCTGGGTAAATATATGAAAGAAATGAAATCTCTATCTCAAAGAGGTACCTGCTCTTCCACGTTCATTGCAGAATTATTTACAATAGCCAAGGCATAGAGAAAACCTAAGTGTCCACTGATGGATGAGTAGGTAAAAAAAAAAAAAAGTGATATATGTATACAATGGAATATTTAGTCATAAAGGAAATATTGTCATTTGTGCCAACATAGATAAAACTTAAGGGAATTTTTTAAAAGATTTATTTATTTATTTGCACGGGGGAAGGGCAGAGGGAGAAGAAGAGAGAGAATCTTAAGCAGACTCTGTGCTGAGCATGAACCCCAATGCAGGGCTCTATTTCAGGATACTGAGATCATGATCTGAGCTGAAACCAAGCATCAACCGCTCAACTGACTGAGCCACCCAGGCATCTCAAAACTTAAGGTAATTATACTAAGTGAAGTAAGTCAGACAGAGAAGACCAATAATGTATGATCTTATTTATATGGAATCTAAAAATAAATACTGAAGTCATAGAAATAGAGAATAACTTGGTAGATGCCAGGGGTGGGAGTATGGAGGAGATAGTTGAAGGTGGTTAAAGGGTTACAAGTGTTCAGTTAAAAGATGAATAAGATCTGGGTATCTACAGAATAGTGGCTATAGTTAACAACTCTGTATTGTATACTTGAAAGTTGCTAAGAGAGTAGATCATTTCTCAACACACACACACACACACACACAAGGTAACTGTGAGACAATGGATATGTTAACTAACCTTATTGTGGCAATCATATTTCCATATATATATATATATATATATATATATATATATCTCAAATCATGGCATTGTACATCTTAAACTTATACAATGTTATATATATCAATTATATTTCAGTAAAGCTGGGGAAAAAAGTCTATTAATAGGGTAACTGTGAATTGAAATAAGAGATGTAAATGCCCCTTTATTAAAACTTAAACTTTCTAAAAGTCTGAAGAATTATGTTAATTTTAAAATATTCATGTCAGAATTACAATTTAATTACATTAAACACCTGGGTGTTGCTTGTGTCCTTAGGCATCTGTTCTTTAAAACAAAAAGGCCTTTTTTTTACTTACCTGAGGGGGTTGTAAACAGCTCAAATGGAATAAAATCAGTGAAAGTGCTTTAACTATGTACAAAATTATGATTATTTAAAATTCCACTCAAATTTCATCATGAAAAATTCTCTTACCATAAAAAGTCAATATTAGTACATGGCAGCCTACTTTGAAAAAAACAAACAAACACATCCTTACACCAACAATTTGAAATAACCAAAGAATTTGGACTTTGAAAAATATTCTATACTTAAATTGTATCATAAGTTATGAAAATGCAAAGTTATCCCAAACATACATAATCATCAAAATCCTATAAACCAATTTCATTAAATAGTTCTTTATTGTAAAGATCAAATGTGAAAATAATGATGAGTTGGGAATACAAATAAGAAATCAAGTTCTTAAAAAAATGTATGTAAATTTAATTATCCCTGAAAGCTTTTTTTTTTTTTTTTTTTAATGGGCAAAATACCAGCAATGTGCCATAAATGCTTGTATTTCCGCTCGGAGCACTGAGAGTTGGACTGCTTGTCACAGCTAGAGCTCCTCATAACAGCAGAGAGTATCCTATCTGCACAGCAGTCAAGTCACTCATTATCTAGAATGTTGGATATAAAATCGTCAGCTTTCAATTGTTTGGTGGGATGAGCTACGAAGACACTGCAAAGAGCTGATGAAGAAAAGAGATTCAAAATCCTATCCCATCTCAAATGACCTCCATGTGTGATCTCCAAAAAGGAGACAGGTTTTGAAATCAATGTTTTCGCCCACCCAACAGGGTAGGTGATTGAGTCATCAAGAAGGACACTGAAACTGCCGCCCAGAAAAGCAACAACACTGTAAAACAGGTCAGCACAGGAAAGAAAATAAACATGCACATATACACCAGTCTTGCTCATCATATGGCGTTCAGCAAGAATATAAAATAAATTTTAGACACCGAAAACAGTCCCTCGAAACAAAAAACATTCCACCACGGGCACCTGGGTGGCTCAGTCATTACGTCTGCCTTCGGCTCAGGTCATGATCACAGGGTCCCGGCATCAAGCCCCGCATCGGGCTCCCTGCTCTGTGGGAAGCCAGCTTCTCCCTCTCTCACTGCCCCTGCTTGTGTTCCCTCTCTTGCTGTCTCTCTCTCTGTTAAATAAAATCTTTGGGGAAAAAAAATTCCACCAATCCACACTCTGTGAATTTTTTTTTTTAAGATTTATTTATTTGACTGAGAGACAGCGAGAGAGGGAACACAAGCAAGGGGAGTGGGAGAGGGAGAAGCAGGCTTCCCACTGAGCAGGGAGCCCCATGTGGGGCTCGATTCCAGAACCCTGGGATCATGACCTGAGCTGAAGGCAGACGCTTAACGACTGAGCCACCCAGGCGCCCCTCACACTCTTGTGAATGTTTTAACTGGTCCAGAGGCCACACTGATTTTGCAATTGCAAATGTTTATGAGAGGCAAAGACAATTGGGATTTCCTGTGTCACCCTGCCATCACCACCTATTTTTCCAACCATGTTGCAGCTCTATGCACCAATTCCATACTTAAATACCTGGAATAGCACTTGGTCTCCTTCCAGGGACTTAGGGTTTTCCTTTAATTGCTAGATTATATCTTCCCTTATATATTTCTCCTACGGATTTAAAGATGAGACTAAGAGGTTGGCAGCATCACCGAGGAAAGATACTGTATCTCCCTCTACCAGATTTACTGTGGTAGCAGGACCTTTGCAGGACCTGTGATCTGGACATGAACCAGAATAACCTTAAAGCAGAGTTCAGACTAGCTGCATTCTTAGAAAAACTTACAGCTTTCAATTTCCAAGGTGCAGTTTTGTTCATCCAGTGGGTACCGCCTTAGGTCCATCATGCAAGCAGCTGTGGTTGTGATTCTAGAAGAGAAATAGCGATGATATACACTGTTAGCTGGTCCATGGCTGGAGTTGGAAAAATTAAATCCAAGTATCAAAGATGGCAGAACTGGGCCTCTAGGAGACTGACTTAGCCAAAGTTCTAGCAAAAAAGGGTGCTACAGCTTTGGATAACCATTTTCCTTTATAAGCCTCAGGCTGATTTATTAAAAAAAAAAAAAGACAGAACTAAATCAGTGTTTTTCCAGAGTGTGGTCCATTACCTACTTGTACCCAAATCACCTGGGGGTGTTTGTTAAACAGGAAGTTTCCAAGCTTTGGAACATCTTGGTATAGGGAAGGACGGTCCTAGGGCTCTTTATTTTATAAGCATCACAGGTGATTAAGAATATCAACATAGATAATTCCTCTCCCACTCACATTTGTTTCCTCCTCCCTCAAATCTAATCTTCATTAAATCTTGGCTTTGATTCATCATTTTTGACATTTCCATGCATAGTGTAATACTTTTCAACTGCTTTAATACAACATACAATCAGCCTTTCATCTATCACCTGGTTTGCTCTGTGCTGAGCAATCTGATATTCTCATGACCTGTTAGAAAGCATCCTCCTATGGGCTGGCAGAGTTACTTATTTAGAACACCTGGCACCTTTATTATTTTATCAGAGAGATATGAATATGTCTCTTTAAAGTCTTTATATTCCTCTATCATCATTTTTCAGTAATCTCTTATTGAAGACCTACTAAAAGGAGTCAAAAAGCATATAGTCCTAAATGATTTGTTAATATATATTTTCTGATCAATAAAGCAGCATAATGTCATGAAAAACACAAGTTTTAGAATACAACAGACACAGGTATAAATTCTAATTCTGTCTCACTAACTGACTGACATCAACACGGTTAATATCTCTTAACCAACCTTAATTTCTTTATCTCTAAGAAGGGGATATTATTAACAATAATTTCTATAAGAATTAATAATTTATGTATAGAACATAAAAGAGTACCTACATAAAGCAGATCCTTTACATCTGCTGAGAAAACCTAAGAGAAGAAATTGCTATTGAATTTGACCAACTTTGGCTCCCTCTACTCTGAAGGGCACTTTACTATGAGTTGGGAATAGAGAAATATGATACAGCCCCAACTTGGGAAAGAGTCCCCAGATAGATATTTTTCACTGAAAGGTTGGTCAGAGTTTACAAGTAATCTAAGTAGACCGAGCTTATGAAATTCCTCAGTTAGGTGTGCAAGTCCCACTCCTCAGTTGTTGGATGGAAATAACTGATTAACTTAATGTAAGTAGTTCATGCTTCTTTAGTTTGATTATTGCCTCATTAAGGTTTGTGCTCTGTTAATTTTTGTTTTTCTTTTTCACAGTAAGTGAGTATCCTAGGGCTGATGTTCATCCCTAATTCCTTTCTTTCCTTCACCAAGAGTTAGCTACTCGGCCTTGGCTCCTTTTCACCTCCATTGCCGCCCTCAAAATCTATGGCTCCCACTGCCTCACCTCATGTTATAACAGTAGATTGGTCTCCTGGCCTCTCCATTTCCCTCCCAACTATCCATTATCCACACAGCCATCAGATCTTTAAAAACATAGATTTTATCACTCCTCTGCTTAATTAGTGGTTCTTCCAATAAAATCCAGAGTCTTGGCTGTGTCCTACTGTGCCCTGAATAATCTGCCTCTTCCTTCCCAATATTATCTCATACCAAGTCCTTACTTGCTTATCTTCCAGTCTGCACATTTTTTCTTTCTGCTTCAAACATGTGTTTCCCTGATCTTCACAAGGCCTTCTCTTCTGATGTTTCAGGTCAAAAATCACCTCCTCTGCGAGGCTTTTCCCAAACAGCCCACCCAAAGTGGCTGCCTTAACTAATGTTGCATCTTACCTGTTTATTTCCTTCAGGCAAGTATCACAATCTGAAATTATCTTGCTTTTTTTTTTTACTTTTAAAAAATTTAAATTAGTTTCAGGTATATAACATAATGATTTAACAATTACTCAGCCATAAGAAAAGAATGAAATCTTGTCATTCATGACAACATGGATGGACCTAGCAGATATTATGCTAAGTGAAATAAGCCAGACAGAGAAAGACAAATACCATATGATTTCAGTTCTATGTGGAATATAATAAACAAAGCAAATGAACAAACAAACAACAAAAAAGAGAAAGCAACAAACTGGTGATTGCCAAAGGGGAGAGATTGGGGGATAGGTGAAGGGGATAAGAAGTAAAAACTTCTGCTTCTTTCTTTCTTTCTTTTTTTTTTTTTAGTACTATTTCTCTCAATAAAATGTAAGCTGTTTAGGGGCACAGGCTTTATTCTATTTATTGTAAAGCAATCAATAAACATCCATTGGATAAATAAAAACATGAATTATAAAGAACAAGCAGTTCGTTTTGCTGATTATAGATCTTTTATTTGGAGGACTATCTTATTGCATTGTTTCTCTTCTTTTTTTCAACTTATATGTGAAACTTTTTCAACTTAAGTTTTAGGGATTCTTCTTATATTTTTAACAGTAAATGAATTTTAATCCATTTAATTGACATTGTGTCAATTAGTACTAGAGTTTATCTTATCATCAAACTGATTGTTTTTGCTTTCAGTGGGACTTACCAAATACTTATATTTTACAAATTCTAAAAATTATATAAAAATTAACACTCACATTTAATTATTTACTCGGGGTTTAAAAATACCAACTTATTTTGGCTATGCAATATTTGACTGAATTTCTCACTGCTCCTTCTCTCTCTCTCTCTTCTTCCTTTTTCTCTTTCTTTCTTTTCTTTCTTTTCTTTCTTTCTTTCTTTCTTTCTTTCTTTCTTTCTTTCTTTCTTTCTTTCTTTCTTTCTTTCTCTTTCTTTCTTTCTTTTTCTTTCTTTCTTTCTTCTTTCTTTTTTCTTTCTCTTCCTTCCTTCCTTCCTCCCTTCCTTCCTTTCCTTCTCTTTCTCTCTTTCTTTTCTTTCTTTTTTCTCTCTATTCTACTTTTTTCTTTTTTAACATGTAGTTAACAATCTGAATTGCTACTAACATACAGAAGCCTGTATTATGTAGAAGAGAAAATTTTAAAGAAAATAAAATTAGGTTTATGATGGGCATACAAAAACTTCCATATTACTTTTGTAAAATAGCAGAAATAATCCCCATCTGAGAAACTAGAGAAAATTAACTTCATCTGACAGAACGAACACAAAGGACCTTAAAGGCACAAGGGCACACCTATGACAAAAAAAGAAGCAAGAGCCATAAACAGATGCTCGACTGTGTAAGTGAGGTGAAGCTTGCACTAGCTACTATATAGGTTGTGGCTCACACTTTCTGTGGATACATATTCATGGCAAATAACATCTGTGAACTAGTGCTGTAAACATGAGTGCTGTGAACAAGAAAAATAAATTGACTACGGCTATTGCAGAAGAAATGAGTTTCTACCCATATTTAAAAAATAAAACAGATGAAAATGTTTTTGTCACATCAACATTTGTATTTACACCAGTGTTTTAATTTTTAATGCTATGCTTCATAAAACAAAAAAAACACGTATAAATATTTCTAGTCAATGCTTACAAGGCATTTGTGTCTCCTACTGAGTTAAAGCAGAAACTCTGTAGACAAAATAATCCCTGTGGAGTCCTGTTCATACAGACCGGAGCGAATGAGCTGGGATGAATCACTTAGATCTTGTAATGCTTGGATGCTCCTGAACACTTGAAATAAAAACTTGTCATCCTAATTGGTTGTGAGATGATAAAAGCAAAAAGAGATCTGTAACTCATAAAATATTCTGTAACTTTTGTTATGACCACCTGCTAATGAGAAGATACAGTGATAACTCATTTGATCAGTGGTTGATATTTGGAAATATGCACATGTATATGTTTATATACATGAAGAAATGTAGAATACTCATACACCTATATGAAAAGCAAAGCAGAGCTACAAAATATGATATAAATAACACCCAAACATATAAATGTGCAAAAAATTATGTCATGTATGTATATAGAACTATATTCAGCAGATTTTTAATTAAAGGTACAGACATGTGTAACAAACCTGCATCTTTGCTACATGATTTGTCAGATCAGGAACTACATCTGTTTTTGTTTTATTTGTATCTCAGCACTTTGGCATATCTCTGGCATGTATCACTAACCCAAGATTAAAATAGTAATAATAATAATAAAATAAAGAGAAGAAAAAAAGGAAGCAAGGTCACAAGCATTCTCAAACTGAGAACTTTGAAACAATTTTCTATATTAAGTGCTTCATTTAATTTATGTAAAAAATTCTAAAAGAATAGATTTATAGATTTATAGAAGATTCAGAAATGAATCTTATTCAGAAAAGCTTAATGATCAACATCAAAATCTGTTCTTTGGAACTTTATGATTTATAGCAGTGTTAAGTTTCTCTAGAAATTAAGTCAATACAACAAATATACTTAATGGGGTTTTCATGAACATGCCTTTCTCAATCCTGATAAACATCCTTAATGGGCCTTAAATTACTCAACACTAGTACTAGGAGTCTTTGAAGTGAAGCTAGTAACTCATTATGCAGGTATCCTGATTAAATTTTAAGACCACTGTGAAATATATAGAGATAGCTTTGTCTTCAATCACAGGAAACAGTCAATGATGCTTTCAGATGTACCTCATTTACATGTAACAAATTTTCTCTAGTTACAAGCGGAAATATGCCTTTTTGGGGCTGAATACTATTGCATGATGAAAGCCACCTTTGGGGAATGTCAGTATTCTGACTGGGCTATTCCAAAGCCTAGATCTTTGGAGAAACTTTTTAATCCTTAGTCATTGGGGCTTGTCAACCATAAAATACTGACACAGTGCAAGAAAACTATATATATAACATACCCTAAAACAGTCACTAAAGGCACCTATAAAATCAGGAAATACAACAGCTATGCCAGCATTTTGCACCAAAGCCATAACAGATATTTTACAGTGGCATTACCTGAGACTTAATGATGCTA